CTACTGCATAAAGGCCATATTCTCCTCTTGCTCTCTGTGCAAATCTCCTACTGACATCAGGGGGTAATACACAGACCTCAGTGTAAACTCCAGCTCTCAGACCATAACTAAATAGAATTCGACCCTCTCCTCCAAATAACTTTGATACCTTTGTTCTAGTACTTTGTCTGATCTCTCTTTTATTTAATATCTCATATGATGGAGCTTCCTTGATCTCTGTGAAGGACGTTTTTCTTTCTGATTATTCCTAAAGGTAAAGGAAGAGCTAGAAAAGGAGGCCAGGGATAAAATTGCACTCTTATTTACATCAATGTAAATCTAAAATGCCTCCACTCACCTCAGTGAAATTACTCCAGATTTACAACAGTGTAACAAAGCTGAATTTGACCCACAGTCTTAGTTAGCTTTGAACCTCAAGTCACACCAGGGTCACAAAACAGCAGGTGAAGCTTCAGCAGTCACTTCAGTTCTAGTGAGCAGTTGAAACAGGACACCAAGAAGTGATAATTCAGTGATGTTTCAGGAGACTTGGTCTCAACTTCTTTATAAGAACAGTGGTATGTAGGTGCTCCTATTAAGTGACTCAAGAATAAGGAACTCACCTAGTCCACTCACAGTGCTCTTTGTCGGCCAATCCACAGAACAATAACTGGTATTATTTCAAAAGGAAGCCCCTATCCTGATCTCCATATGGGAGAAAGGAAGTGTGCCCACGAAGAAAACCTACCACACGCAACCCCCTGATGAACCCAAATAAATCCCAATGACTGACAGAGTAAAGCCTGAGACAACACGGAGATGACAGTTCAGTCTGGGTGACAGAGTCCCACAACAAAACTAAAGGGAATGTGACAAATGATTTTCCAAACTTTGATTGGTTAATTTTTCCATGGTGGAAGAACAAGACATCCTCTGATGCTGCTGAAAGAGGCTCCTTTGTGGTCAGCACCTGCAACATCTCAGCATAGATGACAGGTTTCAGAGTAGCAGCCGTGTCAGTCTGTATTCGCAAAAAGAAAAGGAGGACTTGTGGCACCTTAGAGACTATCCAATTTATTTGAGCATAAGCTTTCGTGAGCTACAGCTCACTTCATCGGATGCATTCATGAAGTGAGCTGTAGCTCATGAAAGGTTATGCTCAAATTAATTTGTTAGTCTCTAAGGTGCCACAAGTCCTCCTTTTCTTTCAGCATAGATGGGTATTTTGAGTCTTTGTGTATATACTCTGGAGTGCAAGTCCCTACTGGGAAGAACAGGGTGGGGTTATATTAACTAATGCTGCATTTGCACACTCACCTCGCCCATCCTAGAAGGGAACCTTAGAGTGCAGCAGCAAGCAAGGCAGAATGAGGTAGAGCAATTTCTACCATACTCTTAGGAAACCTAGTCTCTTTCTACTCTAGGCAGGAACTGAAAGTGATACCTGGGAGAATTTAAACAAAAATAGCAAATACAAATGCCAGAAAAACCAGATGTAACCTTGTGTCTGCCAGCTAGGGTGGAAGGAAGCACCGGAGGGGACTGAAACAATTAGTAGAATCCCTCCTCACTATGCATAGCTGCCTCACATTACCACAACTGTGAAATGAAGAGAGACTCTTGTGGTCTGTAGGCAGGAACTCCCCCAGTGTTCTGGTAAACTTGACACACATGCAGGGCTGCCCCTGGCGGTGGGTGACACCCTGTGCACCAACATTTGGGGGCACTAAACCTTTGCATTCAGGGGTCCCAAATCCCTGATTTTGTGTGGGTTTTTTTCTCTCAACAGTTTTGCTTGATGGCTTTTGTTTTGCTCAGTCATCTGGAGGGCACCAGAAACATTTTCCATCTTTGGTGGGAAAACAGATACAGATGGCCCTGCTTACCTGCTCTAGACATGGGACTCTACAGTTTGGTGCTTTGATTAAGCTTCTATCAGTCACCTCTGTATTGTAGTACTGAGTTGGGGCTGCAGGAGGGTCAGTCGCTGCTTTTACATTGGTACCTGAACAGGCTCCTCAGTTTCTTCATACCTGCCAAATTCCTGGTATATTACTCACCTGCACTGGACCCTTCCTTGGATTCTGAAGTCCCTGTTCCTTGGGGAGGGAGTGTTTCTTTCATAGTTTTTCTGGAACTGCTCTTCAGTGTATATGCCTCTCTTGATTCTGTACTTCCCTAGCTGCCTGGGAGCGCTGACCGTCTCAGCATCTGGCTCCATGAGGTCACACTGATAGTGGGCAGTCAAAAACGTGGGAATAAGGGCAGGCGAGAGAGTGAAATCAAAGTCACTGTCCTTACCCGTGACACTGAAGGGAGGAAGGAGGTCACAGAACCGGACTGTCTCACTGAAAGAGAATGTTTAACTGGCTAAGCCGGGGATACATCCATCCCTGGTGTAACCCCATCCAAGCAGGGACGCCGGAACAATTTGTTCAGTGTGGGTGCCCAGAGCCATTAAACCAAACTGTAAACCCTGGATATGCTGGAAAAAACCACTTCAGGCCAGAGGGTGCAGCCGCACCCCACTTCCAGCACCCAGGCCACTGGGAGCAGTGGTGGCGCTGTTATCACCCCCTCCACCGCAGCAACCCCCAGGGCCACTGCGGGAAGATTGGGACCCTTGCTCCCAGATCCCTGGGGCAGCTCTTCAGAGGGGCTGGGGGCCGAGTGCCCCCGGGGGCCACTCTCAGCCTCTCCCTCCCCTCTCTCGACTCGCCCACGGCCCCTCCCCTTATTCTCCCCGCCAGCCACGGCCCCGCCCCGGGACACCCCCCTCGCTCGCCGGGAGCAGGGGGAGCCCAGGGCCCGCTCACCCGCGGCAACCTGAGCCGCCGCCGCCGCCGCCCCGGCTTCGAGACTCGCGGGGGCGGCCGGGCCTCGCCAACTGCCAACCCCGGGGTGGGGCGCGAGGGGCACGGGATGCTGCCCCCAGCTGGCCCGGGGGGGGGCCTGGGCCCCGCCTCCAACCCCGTGGGGTGACTGGGTCTGATCCCCTCCCCGCCCTCCTCCAACCCCATGGGGTAACCGGGTTTGATCCCGTCCCCTCCAACCCCATGGGGGCACGTCTGATCCCCTCCCCTCCCTCCTCCAACCCCATGGGGGCACGTCTGATCCCCTCCCCTCCCTCCTCTAACCCCATGGCGGGCACATCTGGGCCTCTCCCCGCCCTCCTCCAACCCCATGGGGGGAACGTCTGATCCCCTTCCTCCTCCAACCCCATGGGGTAACCGGGTTTGATCCCGTCCCCTCCAACCCCATGGGGGTACGTCTGATCCCCTCCCCTCCCTCCTCTAACCCCGTGGGGTGACTGGGTCTGATCCCCTCCCCGCCCTCCTCCAACCCCATGGGTGCCACATCTGATCCCCTCCCCTTCCTCCTCTAACCCCATGGGTGGCACATCTGAGCCTCTCTCCGCCCTCCTCCAACCCCATGGGGGGCACGTCTGATCCCCTTCCTCCTCCAACCCCATGGGGTAACCGGGTTTGATCCCGTGCCCTCCAACCCCATGGGGGGCACGTCTGATCCCCTCCCCTCCCTCCTCCAACCCCATGGGGTAACCGGGTCTGATCCCCTCCCTCCTCCAACCCCATGGGGGGCACATCTGAGCCTCTCCCCGCCCTCCTCCAACCCCATGGGGGGCACGTCTGATTCCCTTCCTCTTCCAACCCCATGGGGTAACCGGGTTTGATCCCGTGCCCTCCAACCCCATGGGGGCACGTCTGATCCCCTCCTCTCCTCCCCCCGGAGTGACTGGGTCTGAGCCTCTCCACTCCAACCCCATGGAGGCCACGTCCGATCCCCTTCCTTTCCCTCCCCTCCCCCGGGGTGACCTGGGTCTGAGCTTCTCCCCTCCCTCCTCCAACCCCACGGGGGCCGTGTCTGTGGATATTGCACAGATACTGAAGAAAAGCGCATGTACAGCTCATAAAACTTTTCATCCGCTGCACGGTACATAGTGAAGCAAAAAGATCAGGCACCTTGATAGCCCCAGTATTTTAATGGCCTCTTCTAGGGCAGTTCTTTGGTTTTTCTTGCATCCACCTACTTTCTCAAACCCAATTTTATGTAATTGCAAAATAACCAGCGTTTCATGCATTTGCCACTCAGAAGCAGTTTGGTGACTCCCGTCTGTCTTGAATAACGTAGCGCCTACAAAACTCGCCACCTCAAGTGAAAGATAGCATGGTCCAGCGCTTAAAGGGAGGGGCCCCTGCATTCAAAGGCTGACCGCCACTTATTTGTTGTTGCGTGACCTTGGGGCAGCCACTTCACTCCGTTATTTGGTGCCGACACTGAGCTCGAGCTCCATTTCACAGGGCATTTCAGCGCATGCTGCACTCTCAAGCAAAGGCTTACATCCCCCTGCTTCCCAATTCTCAGACCCGAGCTCGGCGCAAAGCCCCTACACAGCTGCTCGCTCCGCTGCGGATCCTTCTGCACCGCCCAGCCCCCAAAAGGCGGCTCCCCCGAAGCGCCTACAGCCCAGAAGACAGGGCCACAAGGCACGGGAAATCCTGGAGAGGATTTCGCAGCTTTCCTCCGCCCCATTATTCCGTGGGCTCCTGCGTGCAGACGGCCCCAGGGCAGAGGGCTGAGTTGGGAGAAGTCAGTCACTGGGGGGGAGGAAGTGAAATGAATCCCGAGGCACCAGACCCACAGGGGCCGGTCGCCTCTGATGTACCAGAGCCAGCTAGCCCCATGCCCAGCAATGACCAGGCCTGGCCCCCTGCCTCTCTCCCCCAAGCCCAGCCGGGCCCAGCCGCCCCCGGCGCCGCTAGCAGCAGCCCGGCTCCAGGGAGCCGAGCCGAGCCGGGCCCAGCCGCCGCTTCCTCCGCGCCAGGCTCGCCGCCCACGCCGCCCGCCGCGCGGCTTCCCCGCGCCCCGCTAGCTCCGCCCCCAGCCCGGTCTCAGGCCGCTCTCGCGAGAGAGGAGGGCGGTGGGCGCTGGTTCCATATTGGGTCATCGCCGCGCTGTGCGCCTCAGCTCTCGCGAGGCGGCGGCGGCGGCGGCGGGGCGCGATCGATTGGTCGGGGTTCCGGGAGGAGGCGGAATCGCCTGGGCAGTGCCACTGGGCACGGGCGGGGGAGGTCACTCCGGAGTCGCCTTCGCCGCCTGCCTTGCTCTGCCTGTGAGAGGAGTCTCCCTCCCCCCCCGCATCAACATCTGGTTCCTTTCAGGACCCCCCCCCTCCCCTCACACACGCGCTGTCCCGCCCCTTGGGGTGACAGTGGGGAGCACGCAGGGGGCGCGTGAGGAGAACCCTAACAGTCGCGCGGGACAGCCCCCACTTTTTGGGGGTTTTTTTTTTGGGGGGGGAGGCGCTGCACGAGACACCCGCGGCCCCTGCGGGGGCAGCAGCGCGCGACAGGGGAGGGGGGGGTCCGCGGCGGCTGTCAACGGTCACTGGCCCGGGCCGTGGTGAGGGGGGGGGCCGGCGGCGGCCCGAGGCCCCCCTGAGGGGAGGGAGGGGTGCAGACCTGCCCCTCTCTCTGCAGGGGGGGGGCGGGGGAGGAAGAGCCGCTGCTGGGGCCGCCGGCAGAGTCCCCCCTCCCGCCTGGCCGGGCGGGGCGGGCTGCGGAGCCGAGATGTCTCAGGAGCGGCCCAAGTTCTACCGGCAGGAGCTGAACAAGACGGTCTGGGAGGTGCCCGAGCGCTACCAGAACCTGTCCCCGGTGGGCTCCGGGGCCTACGGCTCCGTCTGGTGAGTCCGGGGGCGGGGGGGGGGCGCAGGACGCACGGGAGGGAGGCTGCTTGGATCGGAATCTGCCTGTCCGAGCTGCACCCCGCCCCCCCCCCCGCTCTCTCGGGGGGTGGAGGGGAGGTGGGGAATCTGCCCCGGCTTCTCACCCACTTCGGGGGGACCGTCGGTGTTGCACGTGCGGGGGCGGGGACTGAGTTAGAGGGCGGGGGGTTCCCTGCCCTCGGTGGGGTTCGCCCCCTTCCTCCTGCCCCCAAGATGGGTGAATCGGCCTTGCCCACGGGTGGCTTTTATCCCTAGATTAGTGGAGAAACCGCTGCAGAAGCAGCGTCTCCGCGGTGGGATGCAGCAGATTGCACCACATGGCAGGTGGTGGTAAAGTCAATTTCACAGAAGATAGTCTTGTCCCACTCTTCCTCCAGGGTATTAATCCGCACACTTTCCTCCCTCTCCCCCACCCCCTTTAGTTACTGAGTGGTGGGGCGTGCCAAAGTCTGCTTTGCAGAACAGGTGCCTGGTAGCTCTTGTTCCAGTTTCAGCTGGGAACTGCAGAGCGGGTGGCATTTGGGGTGATTTTAAAGAGAGGTTTGTTGATACTAGGACGGTGATGTGGTGGGAAAGGCTATGAGGTGATCTCTTCTGCCTTGCCCTGTCTGCCAGGAGTGCTCTTACAGGTAACAATTCCATACCACTGGCCATGGGAGGTTAACATAGGGAAATTCGTGGTCTTTCCTGAGTGAGAAAATTATGTGTAGATGCCTATGGTAGCAAAATCCTGCTGTCAGAGCTGTGAAAGTGTGGACATAACTGTCAGGAAAAAAAAACATTCTGGTCTTTAATCTTTTCTTAAACTAATACAGATAAGATGTGTATCTGCAGAGCTTGACTTGCCTGTAGTCACAGCAGCATGATTAAAAAGGTTGTACTCCCTTGTTGCATCAAGTATTTTTGCTCATTTCATAATGCAACAGTGCTTATTAGTTTTGGTCTTCAAAATATAGAATAGGAAATGAATTTGTCTACTTGACTAGCCTCAGTTTTGCAGTCAAATCACAGTGATGCGTGAAAGCTTTTTTAGGCGGCTTTGCCCTTTTTTAAAAGAGAGAATATGTAAAACATGAATGTCTTATGAATGCATATAGTGTTTAAAGCTTTTCTGCACCCAGTATGTCAGACCCTGATGAAGATTTTGTAATAGTGTTTCCACACTGTGGTCTCCTCGAATGTGTGAAGTGAGCATGCGTTAATGAATTTTTATGCAATATGTAAATTTATATCTACAGTGTAGGACTCAAGTAAACAATACTAATGAAGAAAAGTAATAGTCATGTATACACTGTAGCTTTTAAAAAACCCAAACTGTCAGCTGTTTGTTTTTTTAACAAAGGGTGATTATATTATACTAAATTGTTTGCAAAGTTCCATTTAAATAACCTCTATTAAAATTGTTATGTATACTATACTAAAAGTATATGAGCATTTGTCCTTTATCTTTTGTATAAAGGTTAAACAGGTTCTAATAGTATGAATGTGTTCCCCCCAAAGTTTTACTGTAGAAAGGCTGAGCTTTATTGAAGTAGTAAGATAAGGGCTTGACCTTGTTGGTTGGTTGATATCTCCTGAGATGCTGAGTGTTCTGATTGCCCACTACAATCAATAGGAGTTGAGGGTGCTCAGTGCCTTGTGGCAGGGTCAATCCTAAAAATAAAATAAAAAAAATAAAATGAGCAAGGTCTGCTCCTACCCCCAACTCCTATTGTGCTTTCCAAAATGCTTGCATTACTTCCAAATATTTCTTTCCACTACCCATATAACATAAGGGTTTGCATCATGAACTTCCTGTTTTGCTGTGTCAAAACCTTTAAAGATTGTGCAATTGCATTAGTAGCAGAGGAAGTTGTATTTTCTGTTGGAAGCAGCTTCAAACATGTAGCTAATAGTTGCAGATTATCAAAGTTTATTATATTCACACAAGGACTTGCTCTGGTCTGGCACATCTTTTCCTTCCTGATCCGAATGTAAAGTCACTGTGTTGAATGAGGCATCAAATTAATTTTCATTGTACCAGATTGAGACTGCAAACACAGGATTATGATTTTAGTGTGATTAACACCCTCAAGATAGAAAACTCCCCAGGCAGTGATGCAGATAAAATGTACTAGCATGCATCACTACTTGCACACCAAGGTGAGGGGGTTAAATTGGATGAATGTCTAGGCTGTTAGGGAGAAGACTCTTACTCAAACATAAATAACAGAGCTAACAAGTCCTGTAGATTAGTGTTTTCCAAATTATGGGGTGCAGTAGTTGGGAGAGAAGGCACAGGCAGATCTCTGTTTGTTCTTAAGTCTCGTCCTTGATTTAAAAAGAATAGAAGAAAGATGAAAGATGGGCAGCTCAGTTTTCAAAAGTCTGGGAAACTCTGGTGTAGTCAGTGAAGTTGCCTATTCTGACTTATGAAACCATTGCAGTAACACCTATTGTGTGAAATGCTTATGCTGCTTGCTCTTACAACAGTTTAGCATCTTCATGCAACATAGCTGTTGTTGTTTGTATTCTTATTGTGCATTCACATGAAGTGCACTCTACAATCATGTTGGCATCAATTCATTCTGGGATTCCTGAAGCATCTGTTTCAGAATGCTTCCATGTGGTTGTTAGGTACAGGAGATTTTGATTAACTTCCAAATGCAAGGTACATTGTAGAATGGAATTGGGACAAGTGACAGAATTGATGCTGGTGCAACTCTTTTGGCTTCCTGACCATATTGAGGAGAAATCATTGGTTACAGCATGGGGTCAGCTAGATCCAAACTAAACTGTCCCAGATGTTTCAGTCACTTTATGCAATTGGTACTTATAAAATGTGTTGAACATCTGTTATGTGTAGATACAAAGTGTTGCCCAGGCATTGCAAGTTCAAAGTGTTCCAAGCAATGTGTTTTTACAACAGCTTTTTTGCCTAATGTATAAAAGGCCTCAGTCCATAAATGCTCTAGATTGCCTCTTTAAGGCCGTACTTAGTTTGGGGAAGAATGTTATAGGTTATGTAGCTCTTCGAAAAGAGGTATTCTTTATAAAGAATAGTAGACTGTAAAAATACACAGTACTGAGTTTATCAGTTGAGAGTCAAAAATCAAAGGCTCAAACCCAGACTCTGAGTTTCTTGCATGTTATGCTACACAGCTAATTCCCTTTAGTTTTAAAGAAAAAAAAAACTACCGCACATTTAAGGAACTGTAAATGTTAAATTTTTAAGGGGAAATTAAGTAAAAACCTCACATCTCTTCAAATAGTTTTCAAAATCATTGCTACTTTAAAGTGTTTTTTGGGATAGCATCTATCTTCACGCTCACCAATCCATCACCAAAGTATCTGATCACTTCTGAATTTAAAAATAAAATAATAAAATAGAAATCATTATTTTTACCTTTCCAACCTGTAGGAGAAATAACTTAATTGGTTTATCGGGTGGTTTGATTTGTTTGTGAATGGTTGTAGTGTGTCTATATATGAAGTATCCATGTGGGGTGCATGTTACATGGTGAAAGACAAACTCATTTCCTCTGGCTAATGGGAGGGACTTGGAAGAAAGCAAGGTTGCTGGGGAAGAAGGGTGTTTCTGGTGTGGGGCATGGCATGAAAGGAGCCATGGAGTTCACTGGGAGGAGCCTGAAAACAATTTAGTAGGGCAGGTGGCATTAGCAGAACATGCAAGCAGGGGTGTAGCAGGAGACAAGCCATACACATGAGGAGGTGCTGGGCAGAGCCTTGAAAGTGAGGTCAAGGAGTTTGAACTTGTTATAGAACTTGAATTTTAAGAAGTGGAGGAATATTGTGAGTCATTTTCCATCCTGAACTACTCACTGTACAGCAAAGTAATATTCATGGATATCTGGTATTGTAGCTTTTTGCGAACTGATGCTGACTTAATATGATCAAACACAGGCCGGGAAGAGGTGCTGAAATACATGCTTTTTTTATAGCTGTATGCTGGAGTTGTGGTGTCTGCCATATATATAGGGACTGAACTTGTAAATGGCTGTGGTCTTAGTAATATGTAAACAGGACTCTCAAACATTTTGAAGGCCATAGATTTCCTGCTTACACAGTGGGGTTGGTGGTCTCTAAAACAGTCTTCAGGACAAAAAAGAGGATACCACTAACGGGACTCGATGAGTAGCATGTTTGCTTGCATAGCAGCTAGTGATACGCAGAACAGAATTAGTGTGAGATTTGAAAGAGACTGATAATGTTACCCAGTTTCTAAACAAACTCTACTTGAAGAATAGTTTTGCCAGTTCTTTAGTTTCAGACCGCTGAAAAAACATATCTTGTCTCGACAGTAGTTCTCTGGATTTGTTCTGAGATTATTCTTAGAGGGTTAGCTTTGTGTAAGTGACATACAATCACAACTCAAAGTGGTGTGTGTTCTGGTAAGTTAGGAGGTAATGAGGCAATTTCCTGAATTGCATCCATGATAGAGCCTAACTGGCTGTGAAACTTGCAAGCTGTGATTTATGACAGAGGCATGTAAATCCTAAACTCATGTTTATCATTCTTAAAAATGGGATTTATAGTTTCTACTTGTCATGAGCTTCTCTTCCTCAACCGTCTTTTTCAACTGAAATATAATGGATAGATTTAATGCAACTGTTCTAAGGTTGTAATAAATGCTGATTTTAGGTAGTGTTTAAAAAACACTTTCCAATGTAACAGCCGTTGTGTAGCTCTGTGTTCTTATTTGTAAAAGCATTAGGCAGTCATCTACATCAGCCAAAAATTACTCAGCATGCTCAAAAATCTTTAGAGAAGCTCTGTTTCTAGGCCTCAGATATGACCTAACTTAAAACTGTTATAATTTGGGGGTAGAGAGTATCTCTGTAGTACTGACATCTAATGTTAATTGTTTTTATGGTGTGTGAAAAGTTATTGTACTGGATACATTGACACCTCTCTTGGGATTCCTCCCTTCCTCTTCTGGCTCTGCAGCAGGGATGACTAATATTTTAAACACAAAGCTGGCTACAATGTACAACTTTAAAGTCCAGTCTGTTGAGATATCTTGATTCAAGTGGATACAGTCTATTTGTTTATGTTAATTGGGTGCTGCCCTGGGAGTCATGACAAGTTGAGCAAAGTTGTGGCTCCCTTGCTTTGCAGTAGCTTTTTACAAACATTGTTCCCAGAGAGCTTTACTGCTAATGACATCAACTGATGATGCTGTTGTACCACAGTGATTTGTTTTTATGAGGGCCAGGGGGAGAACTGTTCTGTAAGTTAAACATGTGAAGTGCAAAATTAAAGATATATTGTCAGTTCCCTTAAAGTTACATAGAAAAATATAAATTTTACAAGTAGAAAAGGGCAAAATTGGTAGGTTTGTAAAAAACCTTATCTTAATATTTAGAGTGTTCTAAATGTGGAAAAATTTTTCTAATATAGGAGCATAAAAGAATATGGTGCAAAGAAAACAAGAATTGAACTATTAAAAATAATTTGTATTCTGGTACCACCTAAAGATTGTAAGTGACGTTGGGGCCCTGTTGTCCTAGGCACTGTACAAACCCCTAAAACAGAGGTCCCCAGACTGTAGGGTGTGCCCTAATAAATGTAAGCTCTTCAGGGAGGAAACTGTCTATTTAGGGCTATGTCTACACTAGCACTTATGTCGGTATAACTTACGTCACTTAGGGGTGTGAATAAGCCATGCCCCTGAGCAACTTAATTTAGCCAACCTAAGCGCTGGTGTGGACAGCGCTATGTTGGTGGTAGAGCTTTTCCTGCAGACATTGCTGCTGCTGCTCGGTGGGAGTGAATTAAGTCGATGGGAGAGCTTGAGTGGCTGCACTAGAGAGCTCACAGCTGCAGTGTTGCACCTGCACCACTGTAAGCTCTCTGTTTTGTCTACTTAGGCTATGGCAGTACTAAAGTGTGGGTGAGGTGTCTTTCTGTAAAGTTTTCTGGCTTATTGCTCTTCTCCATAAAGAAGGCTAACTGTAAAGAATAATGTAGAAATTTTTTAAGGATAAAATATTCTCCAGTTTGAGGAGCATATTGAAAGGAAATATATGGAGTGTAGGGACCTTAGTTTGGGTCAGGATCTTTACTTCTAGCACTGCTCAAGTACAAAGTAGGAAGACTCTTGTCACACTGAAGCCATAGGAGGTTTAACTGTCAAGTAGTTGTCGTGTTTTCATTTTTAACTTCCCTGGACCCTGTTTCCTTCAGGTTATTGGAGGCATCTGATCAATTTATGTAAGTTCAAACTAGATGTAGCCTATATGTGCTTGTTAGGAACAGAACGGTGGCCTAGTGGAGGTAGAATTAGTTTTAAAATTGTATTTCCTCCCTCCCCATCACACATCACTATTGCACCACTGTAACTGCATCTGTTTAACTGAAGTTATTCCTTATTTTCTGTGGTAAATAAGGAAAACCTAGCGAAGAATTCCAATCCCTTGCTTCCTTGGTTGGCAGGGTTAGGGATGCTCTGGAAGCAGTATATTGTGTTCTGGTAAGTGAGAAGTGTGGTAATAGTGATTGCAGTTGTGAAGGTGAAATAAATATGCAGAGGATTCTCTTTTTTCCAAGGCAAGAGAGATTGTTAAACTGTGTTGTATGCTACCTGTTGCAGTTGAAAGAGATGGAGCCTTAAAGAGGATGACCAATTGACATCCGTCTAGTTTGGATTATGATGACTAAGATTTTATTTTGGAGCTGTGAAGTATATCTGGAAAAAACCTCATGTCTCATTAAAATTATGCTGTTGTGTGTAGACCCTAAATTCAGATTTTGTGTGTAGTATTTTTTTTTTAAAAAAAAGCTTGCATGAAACAGAAAATGAAAATAGTATTTGAAATATTCCCCTGCAGGGTTTGCTACTTCAACATTGATACGTTGTAATTGTGCTTGAGAACTTGAGATGAAAAAGCAATCAAAACAAAATAAAACCAGTACTAGTTTATTTTGATTGTCCAATTTAGTGAAGTGTAGGAAGTAATACACACAAATGATGAAGAGCATAGTAGATTTCAAACGCATTTTGATTAATTCAAAGCATTGGGGGTTAGTAATTCTACTACAGCAGTCTGAGGCTTCTGTGATCTCTGGGAGACTTTTCCAGCTTTATTTCCATATCTTTTTCTGTGAGCTGTTTCAGTGGAATGTACTCTCCTGCACAGAAGGGGCTACTGTTGTTCTGCAGAGAAGGATTAGAAGTACTCTCTTCATATCGCAATAGTACAAAATAGAGAACATATGGAAGATGATGGTTGCTGGTTGAAAAAAATTTAAGTGTTCGGCTACATAGTTGCCAAGTTTTTCATAAGCTTCATTTCAGCACTCTGAGTGGAGAGAGCACACGGATTTTAACAGGGGTATTTTTCTTAAGTGAAACTTAGCAAGTCACACTAATAAGTAATGTGACTTCATTTTATAGAAGATAAATAGACTGTGGTTTGGAGCGGGTATATATTTAGTTTTTATTTCTGACTTGTATAAAGCTGTGGATTTAGTATGCATATGCTTTTCCTGCTGTGACTTCTCTTCTGTGAGATGTGGTGATGGACTTTCCATTACTGGCCTTGCTTCCCACTTTGAACTTGTAAACATGAGCTTTCCCTTCCTTTTCATGATTATCAAGGGAAATGGTCTTTATAGATCTTAGTTGAATCGAGAGGCAGGCTGGTTTGAATAAATGTTCTGTGAAATGGGCAAATTATGTCCTAATACTCTTGGCTTCTCTTCCATTCTCTGTACCCTTTCTCCATTATCTTACTATTAAGCTTAACTTCATCAATTTCACATCCTCTACCTCTTCCTCTCTCTTCTTTTCAACAAACAAGAAGAAGTTAGATTTCAAAAACATCCAAAGGGGGAATAAAGCAGAAGTGGTATTCAGTTGTTCACAGCTAAATATCTATCTTTTGTTGGTGCTTGGAATCTAAAATTCTCAGCTAGGGCTCTGGAATATTGTGTGGGGATATATCTTAGGTGTAATAGAATAATGCTTTTCATCTATGTCAAAATCTTTTGTGATAACATTCAGGATGGATTGATTTAAATCAAAGCAACTTAAATTATCAGGCAGGAAACATTGATTGTAAATCAGTTTTAAACTTGTTTTGCATTTACACCTTTTTTCCCCTAAAGAGAGGTTGATTCTCGTTAGTTGGTAACCATTAAATCATGTTGATTTACAACTAAGTATAGTCTTTACATACATTTAGTACTACTTTTTGCCAACCAGGAGGATACATTAAATCTGTACACATTTTTAAGCAATTATATAGCTTAACAGACACTTACTCAGACTCTTAAGTTTTATTTGTTTTGTTATGTTAGAAAATGGTGAATGATGCATTTTTTAATTTGGAGATTAGCTTTTTATTCTTGATTCATGTCAAGCTCTGTTTGGATGGAAACTGGAATTCATTTAAAATGCCCGAAACAGTTATGGTTTGATTAGTTAAATAAAACTACTTTAAATGTGCTGATACATAAGAAAAAAATATCAAAGCATGTTTTCCGTTTAAAATTGATTTTATTAAAGGTAGCAGTGTATGTAGTTAGTGAATTGAATTGATTTTGTCTGGTCGTCATATTGTTCAAGATTTTAGAACTAGTATATCTCATCCTTACACTAGTATTTTATTCATAGATTGTAAGAGGGAATACAAGCTTTCCTACTTTTTCAATTCCCAATCTGTTTCTTAACTTGGAATGAACTAGTAATCGAACTGAACTAGTTGAATAAACTGAAATGAAGCTTCGTAAGGGATTTCTCATTGAGCTGTGAAATGTTCAGGGAATCTTGCAGGACACTTCCTTGTAAATTACGTATTTTTGCAAGGCCAGGCTCTCCAACTAAAAAAGACTTGAAGACTTTGATTCTCTCTTACTGTATTGATTTTTGAGAGAGAGAGACTGCGTGTGTTTGCCACATCTTAATTCTAAAGTAAATTAAAATGTTCTATACAAATATTTTGAGGGTATGCATCAGACTGCTTTCTTAAAGAACGGTATACACACCTCTTCTGCAAAACCCCTTTCCTGTCCTCCCTTCCACTGATCCTGATGCAAAGGATTCATCTAGCTCTTTGCCACTTTTCCTTGGAAACCAAACATAGGTATGGAAAGGTGGCTTTTTAAAATGTGGCACAGGGTACTTTGGACTAATTTCACTGGGGGAAATGAGTTATTTCAGTCTCAATCCCTAGTTATTTTTAAAGTATTTTTTACATTTGGTAACTTTATTTTTTTTAAATTGTAGCTCTGCCTTTGACAGAAAAACTGGGCTGCGAGTGGCTGTGAAGAAGCTGTCCAGACCATTTCAGTCCATCATCCACGCCAAAAGGACCTACAGAGAACTACGGCTACTTAAACATATGAAACATGAAAATGTAAGTTCTAGGATAGTGGTTGCAAACTGGGGTTCGTGAAATGTTACAGGGGGTTCTCGGGGGAAAAAAATTCCCTAATGGCAGACAGAGCTGTCCCTAGGCACCCTGGACAGCACAGGGCCAGCAGCCCAGAGCCCCTGGACTTCCAAGAGCTAAGCAGATCAAAGCAAGCCTATCTATCACACTGAGGAGATTTAAACTTTAAGACTTCTTATAAAAAATGGAAAGGGAGGTGGATATATTTTGCTGTTTTTAAAATTAAATAGGCAGCTAGTGTTGTTTTTAAAATTACTATGAAGAACAAGTTTAAGATTTGTTGTAACGTGCGTTGTTTGCCTGGACTGCTCAAGACCTGAATGCTTGTGTAGGAGGAACTCTTTGAGTTGGCTTCTTAAATCCCTTCCTGCGGTTTCACATCTGATACTCCTTGATGAAGCATAGGAGCCTTGTCTTATAACAGGCTTATTCAAAGTGATACAAGCTATGAAAATGAGATCTTGGAAGAGTGTAGCCATTTTCATAATGTAATAAAATACTGTAATGATAATAATAGTAATAAATAGTGTGTAATAAACATGTCATAAAAACAATTTTATATTTCCAAGATCACTGCTTTTATAATTTATATTCAGGTCAAGGAGAAAATCCCTGGAAATACTCATTTTTAGGAGGGGGTCCGTGAGACTTGACATTTCAGTGACAGGGGTTCACAGGTTGTTAACATTTGGAAACCACTGTCCTCGGAGATGCCCAGAGACATGCAATGTGTGGGAAATTGGATGTTCATAGCTGTGAAAAGCTTGATCAAATGCAGACCAACCCAGTGATAAGTAAACTGAACCTCCAGCATGACTACATTCAAAGTCTTGTAGTATGGGAATTTAGGTATCAATTAAAACGTTTTTTAGTACTTTGAGAAGGTGACAGAAGTGAGTCAGAAGAATGGGTACTTTTTTTAGTAGAAAATTAATTAAGGTTAGGGCTGTCAAGAGTAAAAAAATTAATTGTGATTAATCACGCTGTTAAACAATAGAATACGATTTATTTAAATTTTTGGATGTTTTCTACATTTTCAAATATATTGATTTCAATTACAACACAGAATACAAAGTGTAAAGTGCCCACTTTATACTTATTTTTTATTACAAATATTTGCACTGTAAAAAACAAAAGAAATTATTCACCTAATACAAGTACTGTAGTGAAATCTCTTTATTATGAAAGTTGGACTTACAAATGTACAATTAATGACTGCATTCAAAAATAAAACAATGTAAAACTACAAGTCCACTCAGTCCTACTTCTTGTTCATCTAATCACTCAGACAAGTTTGTTTACATTTGCAGAAGATAATGCTGCCCGTTTCTTGTTTACAGTGTCACCTAAAAATGAAAACAGTCATTCACATGGCACTGTTGCAGTTGGTGTCGCAAGATATTTACGTGGTAGATGTGCTTAAGATTCAGATGTCCCTTCATACTTCAACCACCATTCTAGAGGACATGCTTCCATGCTGGTGACACTGGGGTTCTGCTTGATAACGATCCAAAGCAGTGTGGACTGACATGTTCATTTTCATCCTCTGAGTCAGATGCCACCAGCAGGAGTTTCCGCATTGGAGTATTGCTCTTTTAAGACTTCTGCAAGCATGCTCCACACCTCGTCCCTCTCAGATTTTGGAAGGCACTTCAGATTCTTAAACCTTGGGTCTAGTGCTGTAGCTATCTTTAGAAATCTCACATTGGTACCTTCTTTGCGTTCTCAGATCTGCAGTGAAAGTGTTCTTAAAACAAACGTGCTGGGTCATCATCCGAGATTGCCATAACATAAAATATATAGCAGAATGCAGGTAAAACAGAGCAGGAGACATACAATTCTCCCCCAAGGGGTTCAGTCACAAATTTAATTACCGCATTACTTTTTTAACAAGTGTCATCAGCATGGAAGCATGTTCTCTGGAATGGTGGCTGAAGCATGAAGGGGCATGTCAATGTTTAGCATATCTGGCACATAAATAACTTGCAATGATGGCTACAAAAGTGCCACACAAACACCTGTTCTCGCTTTCAGGTGACATTGTAAATAAGAAGCAGGCAGCATTATCTCCCATAAATGTAAACAAACTTGTTTGTCTCGGCGACTAGCTGAACAAGAAGTAGGACTGAGTGGATTTGTAGGCTCTAAAGTTTTACAATGTTTTGTTTTTGAGTGCAGTTATTTAACAAGAAAAATCCAACATTTGTAAATTGCACTTTCATGATAGAGGCTGCACTACAGTGCTTGTATGAGGTGAATTTAAAAATACTGTTTCGTTTTTTTTATTGTGCAAATATTTGTAATCAAAATAATAATAGTAAGTGAGCACTGTACACTTCATATTCTGGGTGTTGTAATTGAAATCAATATATTTGAAAATGTAGAAAACATCCCAAAATATTTAATTGGTATTCTATTGCTTAACAGTGTGATTTAAACTAAGATTAATCGCTATTAACTTTTTAAGTTGCGATTAATTGTTTTGAGTTCATCTCATGAGTTAGCTGTGATTAATCGACACCCCTAGTTAAGGTCTGCTACAAGTCTTTTGGGGGGAGGGAAGTGCTGATTTGCAGGATGTTCAGTAAGTGTTGGGAAGGAGGACTGAGGGAAAAAGCAATGGTGTAAATGCTTTTGAAAGTGACCAAACCTCCTTAGAGTAACCTGATTGAAAACATAAGATGGGAGAAGTACCTGATTATTAAACAGATGACTGTTGCATACTTGTTGTAGTTGATTTTGGGTGTTAAGTATATTTTACTGGGCTTATAGAAGATCCTTAATAGTAATAAATTGGTCTAGTTTCCTGTAACTCCACGAAAGTTTAACGGTTAAAAGGGTATTTTGAGAGAACTAACCTTCAGTAATGAAGAAAGGCTTGCAATATAACTATTTCTTAGTAAAGCCTCAATTTGATTCACAGTATGTTAAGTAATAAGATGAGCCTAATTGATTTAGTGCTCTGTCTGACATTTGTGCTTTTAACACGTTTTACGATATTCTGGGAGGTTTGGTTTCTTCCATCCACTCTGAGGTCAGTCTTTGCATGTGAGGTAAGATAAATGTCACTTGACTTTCCTCCTGCTGTGCCTATTCTAGTCAGGGCTTCAGTAGTGCTGCTGAACCCCAACCCCCCCTGCTGCCTCCCCCCTGCCCGGTGGCTCCAATTGCTCATCTTAGCATTAGTTGCCACTGCCCTTGCAAAGATGGATGTGGGGAAAGTGTCTTGAGACATGATGACTTATCTTCCATGATGCTGGGACTCTCCAAACATTAGGAAGAGGTGGTTGTCTCTTTTTCGTGTTCCCACTGGGTCGGTTTTATTGTGAATTCTGTGTCTCTTCAGCTATTGCATTCTTCACTGACAAAGATTGTCCTTGGCCCCGACTTTATTATTTGTATTACAGCAGGTCTCAATCAAGGATCATGGCCCCATTGTGCTAGGCACTATAGGAACCATATAGTTTTGTTCTTGTTCCAGAGAGCTCACATCCTAGGTTAGGGGAGGAAAGCCTAACCTTTGGACTGTAGCATGGGGAGAACTTTGTCCCCCATTTTCTTACCTTGTACCTGGGCCATGAGACTGAGAGGGGGAATACAAACACTATCTTTCATACCCACTGCACTTCGTTCCCTTGCCCACATCTTCGAATTCCTTCACTGATTTTCCATTGCCTCTGTATCAAGTTCAGGCTTCTCATCCTCATGTTTAAGGCTCTGCATAACTCCGCTCCATCTAATTTCTTCTGTAGTCTCTTCCTACTCTGAATTCTTCCTCATTTCCTCTGCTTTGGCCATACCTTCTGTCTTATTGCTTCCTCTGTCCTTCTCCCACTTTCATCCCTGTGCCTCTTGTCACGCTATCCCTTCTGCGGAGAATGTCTGTGGCAGTGTGCCAAACATCTACCCTTCTTTCGGATCCCTTCTTAGAACACAGTATGAATCATCCTAATAGTGCAGTTGTGTATCTACTGTAAAAAGAAAAATATTTGCACCAATATGTGATAAATTGATCTATCCTGGTTATTGGTGCTGTGTTTTTTGTTTTTTTGTTTTTTAAGCTATGTATGTAGAATTGTGATTGTAAGTGCCTTTTGATAGAGACATTGTCTTAGGCCAGGTCTACATAACACATTTCGGTATAACTGTGTCACTCAGGGGTGTGAAAAAATCCACACCCCTGAGCGATGTAGTTATACCAACCTTAACTCCCCGTGTAGACTGTGCTGTGTAGGCATGAGAGCTTCTCCTGCTGACATAGCTACTGCCTCTTGCAGAGGTGGAGTTGTTAAGCTGATGGGAGAGCTCTCTGCTGTCACTTTAGAGAGTCTTAACCAGAAGCACTACAAAAGCACAGCCATGCCAATGCAAGTTTGTAGTGTAGACCTGCCCTTACTATGTTCTGCATCATTGAGCATGCTGTTGATGATCAGTAAAATGTACATTATTTTTGGAGTTAGATACCTTTTTAAAGAAGCTAAATAGCAGTATTTCTGCCCTCTCCAATTTCTTGTGTTGTGCAAGAAGTCTTAAAGTTGGTCCTCTGGGAGAGTGGATCAGGTAATATCAGAGGTTTCTTGCAACCCTAATATCCTTTAAAAAATGCTCTCCAGTTTCTGTATCTAACTTCTGTGCACAGGATGCAGCAAGTCTTAGCAAGCAAGATAAGATTTTTCTGGGAAGGTTAAACGTAAACAATGATCCCAATCTGTGTTGAATTTCAAATGCTGCTTGTCTTAATTCTCTCACTTGTGTAGTATCATGTATACCTTGGGGATTATTTTCTTTTCTCATCAATTTATGCCATGAACTCCTCCAAAAAGTAAGAGAATGAATACAATTCTGACTTTTTGAGAATATATCCTTGGCATCCTGGAAGTGTGTGTGTGGAACTTCTGTATTGCCCTAGGACACGATCTGGTTTTGGATGAATAATTCTCATTCACTGCAGCGTTAAGGCACCA